CTCTGTCGTACGTTGGCCCTGCTAGGAGTCTCTGGTGGTGAGATTCGGTCGTATCTTGGCCCTGCCAGGAGATTCTGGTGCTGAAATTCGGTTGTATGTTGGCCCTGCCAGGAGATTCTGGTGGTTAATCTCTGTCGTATGTTGGCCCTGTCAGGAGTCTCTGGTGGTTAGTCTCTGTCGTACGTTGGCCCTGCCAGGAGTCTCTGGTGGTGAGATTCGGTCGTATCTTGGCCGTGCTAGGAGATTCTGGTGGTTAGTCTCTGTCGTATGTTGGCCCTGCCAGGAGATTCTGGTGCTGAGATTCGGTTGTATGTTGGCCCTGCCAGGAGATTCTGGTGGTTAATCTCTGCCGTATGTTGGCCCTGCCAGTAGACTATGGTGGTCAATCTTCGTCGTGTGTTGGCACTGTCATGAGATTCTGGTGGTTAGGTTTGGTGGGACGTTGACAATTGCCTGGAAGCTGGTGGTCAGGCTCTGCCGTATGTTGGTCCTGTCAGGAGATTCTGGTGGTTAATCTCGGTCGTATCTTGGCCCTGCCAGGAGATTCTGGTGGTTGGGCTCGGTCGTATGTTGGCCCTGCCAGGAGATTCTGGTGGTTAGTCTCTGTCGTATGTTGGCCCTGCCAGGAGATTCTGGTGGTTAATCTCTGTCGTGTGTTGGCCCTGTCAGGAGTCTCTGGTGGTTAGTCTCTGTCGTACGTTGGCCCTGCCAGGAGTCTCCGGTGGTGAGATTCGGTCGTATCTTGGCCGTGCTAGGAGATTCTGGTGGTTAGTCTCTGTCGTATGTTGGCCCTGCCAGGAGATTCTGGTGCTGAGATTCGGTTGTATGTTGGCCCTGCCAGGAGATTCTGGTGGTTAATCTCTGCCGTATGTTGGCCCTGCCAGTAGACTATGGTGGTCAATCTTCGTCGTGTGTTGGCACTGTCATGAGATTCTGGTGGTTAGGTTTGGTGGGACGTTGACAATTGCCTGGAAGCTGGTGGTCAGGCTCTGCCGTATGTTGGTCCTGTCAGGAGATTCTGGTGGTTAATCTCGGTCGTATCTTGGCCCTGCCAGGAGATTCTGGTGGTTGGGCTCGGTCGTATGTTGGCCCTGCCAGGAGATTCTGGTGGTTAGTCTCTGTCGTATGTTGGCCCTGCCAGGAGATTCTGGTGGTTAATCTCTGTCGTGTGTTGGCCCTGTCAGGAGTCTCTGGTGGTTAGTCTCTGTCGTACGTTGGCCCTGCCAGGAGATCTCCGGTGGTGAGATTCGGTCGTATCTTGGCCGTGCTAGGAGATTCTGGTGGTTAGTCTCTGTCGTATGTTGGCCCTGCCAGGAGATTCTGGTGCTGAGATTCGGTTGTATGTTGGCCCTGCCAGGAGATTCTGGTGGTTAATCTCTGCCGTATGTTGGCCCTGCCAGTAGACTATGGTGGTCAATCTTCGTCGTGTGTTGGCACTGTCATGAGATTCTGGTGGTTAGGTTTGGTGGGACGTTGACAATTGCCTGGAAGCTGGTGGTCAGGCTCTGCCGTATGTTGGTCCTGTCAGGAGATTCTGGTGGTTAATCTCGGTCGTATCTTGGCCCTGCCAGGAGATTCTGGTGGTTGGGCTCGGTCGTATGTTGGCCCTGTCAGGAGTCTCTGGTGGTTAGTCTCTGTCGTACGTTGGCCCTGCCAGGAGTCTCTGGTGGTGAGATTCGGTCGTATCTTGGCCGTGCTAGGAGATTCTGGTGGTTAGTCTCTGTCGTATGTTGGCCCTGCCAGGAGATTCTGGTGCTGAGATTCGGTTGTATGTTGGCCCTGCCAGGAGATTCTGGTGGTTAATCTCTGCCGTATGTTGGCCCTGCCAGTAGACTATGGTGGTCAATCTTCGTCGTGTGTTGGCACTGTCATGAGATTCTGGTGGTTAGGTTTGGTGGGACGTTGACAATTGCCTGGAAGCTGGTGGTCAGGCTCTGCCGTATGGTGGTCCTGTCAGGAGTCTCTGGTGGTTAGTCTCTGTCGTATGTTGGCCCTGCCAGCAGTCTCTGGTGGTGAGATTCGGTCGTATCTTGGCCGTGCTAGGAGATTCTGGTGGTTAGTCTCTGTCGTATGTTGGCCCTGCCAGGAGATTCTGGTGCTGAGATTCGGTTGTATGTTGGCCCTGCCAGGAGATTCTGGTGGTTAATCTCTGCCGTATGTTGGCCCTGCCAGTAGACTATGGTGGTCAATCTTCGTCGTGTGTTGGCACTGTCATGAGATTCTGGTGGTTAGGTTTGGTGGGACGTTGACAATTGCCTGGAAGCTGGTGGTCAGGCTCTGCCGTATGTTGGTCCTGTCAGGAGTCTCTGGTGGTTAGTCTCTGTCGTATGTTGGCCCTGCCAGGAGATTCTGGTGGTTAGTCTCTGTCGTATGTTGGCCCTGCCAGTAGACTATGGTGGTCAATCTTCGTCGTGTGTTTGCACTGTCATGAGATTCTGGTGGTTAGGTTTGGTGGGACGTTGACAATTGCCTGGAAGCTGGTGGTCAGGCTCTGCCGTATGTTGGCCCTGCTAGGAGATTCTGGTGGTTAGTCTCTGTCGTATGTTGGCCCTGCCAGGAGATTCTGGTGCTGAGATTCGGTTGTATGTTGGCCCTGCCAGGAGATTCTGGTGGTTAATCTCTGTCGTATGTTGGCCCTGTCAGGAGTCTCTGGTGGTTAGTCTCTGTCGTATGTTGGCCCTGCCAGCAGTCTCTGGTGGTGAGATTCGGTTGTATGTTGGCCCTGCCAGGAGATTCTGGTGGTTAATCTCTGCCGTATGTTGGCCCTGCCAGTAGACTATGGTGGTCAATCTTCGTCGTGTGTTGGCACTGTCATGAGATTCTGGTGGTTAGGTTTGGTGGGACGTTGACAATTGCCTGGAAGCTGGTGGTCAGGCTCTGCCGTATGTTGGTCCTGTCAGGAGATTCTGGTGGTCAGGCTCTGCCGTATGTTGGATGCTGCGTGGACTGTATCATCCTCTCAGTCGACGCTCGTACTGTCCACTTATCACCCAATGACAGATTCACTTACTCACGGATTCATATCGACTCAGTCAATCATATATCTATCGATTTAGTGCACTGACTTGCTTGTTTTGCACACCACTGCTATGTTCTATTTTTATCAATGATCTTGAATCTTCCTTATTAAGGAATGAATGTACAGGTGTGAACTCTGAAAATGCATCGACGATGACATTTACCATTGGTTACATTTGATTGTCTTATTATATGCCGACGACGCTCTCATTTTCAGTGAATCACCTAAGGAACTTCAGAAATGATTAAATAACTTCCAGGAATACTGGTTCAACGTTAATCTATTTAAAACTAAGATTGTCATCTTTGGAGGTGGGCCCTCGAAAACAGCCAACTCAAAATTTTCCTTTTCGCTGGGGGGCAGTAAAATTGAAATAGTAGATAAATATACGTATCTTGGCCTAGGTTCCATAGAAATGGTAGGTTCTTGACAGGTATGAAAGCGCTAGTAGAAAATGCAGCTAAAGCTATGTTTGCCCTTTTGAAAAAAGCCCGAAATTTAAACCTACCTATTGATTGTACCCTAAAAGCGTTTGATACTATGATAAGTCCAATTCTCCTTCATGGTTGTGAAGTATGGAGATTTGAAAACCTGAACATTATAGAAAAAGTACATCTCAGATTTGTTAAATTTGCTGTTGGTCTTCGAAGCTGCACTCCAAACGTTATGGTGTATGGCGAGTTTGGCCGAAAACCGCTCTACATCAAATTATACAAACTAGTTATTTCTTTTTGGCATAAAGTAGCAACAAATAACCAATACTGTACACTCTCCTCACTGATGTATAATTTTATCTCTGTTAATAACTTTGGTTGTCAACTCCGATGGATATCTTTTGTTACAAGAATACATAATACCTGCGGTTTATCAGAGGTTTTCTCAAACCCCCATAATGTCACCACGTCATGGCTGGTCTTAAAAGTTGAAGCTATTCTAAACGATAAGTTTTTACCTCACTGGCGTAGCTCCATAGAAACTAGTTCTAAAGGTCAATTTTATAAATGTTTTAAAGATAAACTATGCTTTGAAAACTACTTATACTTACCCAGGAATATATACTGTAAGCCATTAAAAACGCAATTTGACATTCATACTTTCTTTACTCTCACTAGTTTCAACATATATAAACCTAACTGGCAGATATGTTTAAAGTGAACATCTGTGAATAATTTCATGTCCAGTCAACAACAACATCAGTGACGTAACAACGACATCACACAAAGGAGGGGGTCACTTGCAGTCAACATCGTGTGTGTCCACCGTGCGCTGCAAGACATACTCGCAGTCTTTGGAGCATTGAAAGACAGCTGGAACAGGAACAGCTGTTGGATGGTCTGCAGCCTCTGATGGTCTGTGGTCTGATCATGACACCACCCCCTCCAAAACGATCATGTTCAAGGACACAGTTTGGCGCAAGTCTTTCTCCTTTACGTCGATAAATCTGTTGACGTCCATCTGCAAAGGATAAGTTAAACCTGGATTCATCTAAAAAAAATGACATCTGGCCATGTCCTGTTGCCAAGATTGGCCCCATTTGCTGCCCATCGCTGTCTGGCAAGTCTGTGGCGATGCAATAAGGTTGGACCACGGTACGGGTGACGACACCGGATGTTGAAGGCAGCAAGGCGTCCTTGCACCTTTTGGGCGCTGAAATGACGTTGACTTGTCCCAATTGTCCTCCTTGCCTAATCATCAGCTGTTTGGAACCGATTTCGCAAGTGTGAAACTCGGATATTGCGGTTTTGTCGAGCTGTTATCACAGGTGGTGCACCAGGTCGCGGACGATCAGCAACACTTCCGGTAGCCCGTAGACGTTGTCTGAGTCGACTTACAGTGGATGGATGCACATTAAAGTGCCTGGCAATCATCACATCTGAAGCACCTTGGCTGACCATACCGATAACCTGATTCCTTTCGTCTTGTGTCAAGTGTGGCATTTTCTCAAAGTGATTGAGTTCCACAATTCCTTGTGTTTTTACAGGGCCTGGATGCAGGTAATGCATGTGCACAACGTGATCATGAATGTGGTTGTGTTTACGAGAAATGTCAATGGTTCAGTTTTAAGTATCAAAGTTCATGTGAGAGGAATGCTCCGGGACTCGAACTCGAAATGGGCCAGAATAACAGCCTTTTATCCCTACATCCTCTGTATCGCAGGAAAAAATCGTCAATAGAACTTTTGTAAGTTTCAGGACAACAAACACCAATTGCGTTTTTAATGGTTTACAGTATATATTTTCCTATATTAAAACTAAGAACTTGCAACAATAACCTACCAATTGAAACCGGCCGATGGCATTCTATTCCAAAAGAGGAAGGAATATGTAAACTGTATAACGCTAAAGTTGTTGGAGATGAGTTTCACTATCTCTTTAGATGTGAAACCCTTCTCCAACAGCGAAATACCTATCTATTATGTAATAAAACTACTAAACATTTAAAGAACTTAAAGTCATTTCTGAATGTATTGTTTAAATCACTTACTAAGTAATATTCAAATGATCATGTCCAGCCACTTGCCATGTATATACTTGTTTACCTATGTATTTATGTATTCTCATGTACCACCGTTGGTTGGTTGAGAAATAAACTTCTCTGTCTGTCTGCTTACCCACCAAGCGATTCCATCCAACCACTCCCCCATCCCCATCATATCCACCCATCCACCCACCCAATCACTAATACTCCACCCACCCAATCACTCACAAGCAATACATCCACCCATCAAATCACTCTCTCCCCAGCATATCAACCAAACCAATCACACGACGATATATCGTCTCTCTTACTCACTCACTCTTCTGCTTCACCATGGACAAGTCCACCCATCGGTCACGCACGGCAGTAGAAGCACCCATCCAATCACTTTTATCCGAAAACATCCACTCACAGGCCAATACATCCACCCACCCCATCGATTACACGCCAGTACATTCGCCCAAGCAATCACTTGCACGGAAATACATTCACCCACCCAATCACTCACAAGCAATACATCCACCCCACAGTCACTCACAAGCCAATACATCCGCCCAATCACACGACGATATATCGCCCTCTCTTACTCACTCACTCTTCCGCTTCACCATGGACAAGTCCTACCATCGGTCACGCACCCTTCGATGTATTCACCTACTCATTCACATACACATATTCACATTAGCAAACTAAAGGCGACACAGTCGTGTCCAGATACATCAGAAATTATTGCTTAATACCTAATCTATGTATCCTTGCAATCACTGACACTGACACTGGCATGACGTAAGATGTTTACCCCGTCTGTTGCAGTGAGCAGTCTAGTTCCCCTTCTCGTCCTCTCGGCGTCAGTAACTCCCCGAGATCCTGACGTGACGCCTTCAGTGACAGGAGTTGAGGTTGATGACACAGATGCTGGCGATGCTGTGACAAGAGACGAGGAGGAGACTGACGACATTAGTCTGTTTCCTATACTTCTCGAGGAGGTTCCCGGGAGGAATACATCTGTGGAGTCCAGGCCGAAGAGAGCCAGTAGAAGACCGAGGTGGAGGTGGGTGAGGAGGTCACGGTCGAGAACCAGGAGGTGGAGGCGGAGGGGGGAAGCAGAGTTCGGAGGAGAAAGCATCACGGGAATTGAAGTCAGCTGAAAGATCATCTAGGGAGTCAAGGGAGAGCGGCTCCAGAAATGGTGGGAGGAGTGCTAGGAGACGTGGTGGTGGACGTAGTGGGAGACGTGGTGGCGGACGTAGTGGGAGACGTGGTGGGAAAAGTGGTGGGCGGAGTGATGAGGGGAGCAGTGGCGAGAGTGGCGAGGTCTTGCCAGGTCTTGAAACAGCATCAGAGGTAACTACCAAAGCAGTAGCGACGACGGAAGCAACATCAGAAGCAGAAGCAACAACTGAAGCAGAAGCGACAACAGAAGCAGATGCGACAACAGAAGAAGAAGCCACAACAGAAGCAGAAGCCACAACAGAAACAGAAGCAGAAGCCACAACAGAAGCAGAAGCCACAACAGAAGCAGAAGCGACAACAGAAGCAGAAGCGACAACAGAAGCAGAAGCCACAACAGAAGCAGAAGCCACAACAGAAGCAGAAACAACAACAGAAGCAGAAGCGACAACAGAAGCAGAAGCCACAACAGAAGCAGAAGCCACAACAGAAGCAGAAGCCACAACAGAAGCAGAAGCCACAACAGAAGAAGAAGCCACAACAGGAACAGAAACAACAACAGAAGCAGAAGCGACAACAGAAGCAGAAACCACAACAGAAGCAGAAGCCACAACAGAAGCAGAAGCCACAACAGAAGCAGAAGCGACAACAGAAGCAGAAGCCACAACAGAAGCAGAAGCCACAACAGAAGCAGAAGTTACAACAGAAGCAGAAGCGACAACAGAAGCAGAAGCTACAACAGAAGCAGAAGCCACAACAGAGGCAGAAGCAATGACAGAAGCAGTAGCAGCTAGAGAAGCAGAAGCAACTACAGAAGCAGAAGCCACAACAGAAGCATTGGCGACGACAGAAGCGTCAACAACAACAATTGCTTCAATGCAGGCTCCAACAAAGAAGCCTAAAGGCAAAAAGAGAGGAAAAAAGTACAGACGTGGTAAGAAAGGACGTGGTGGGAAGAGGACGAGCAAAGAGAAGAAGAGCAGAGGGCCCAAAGGTAGACAAAGAAAGAAATCCCCAAAGAAAGGAAGAAGGCATTGACCAGCCTGAAACTAGGCTTAGTGTGATACGTCGGCGGAGAGTTACGAACTAAACTATTAACTAGATACACTTGTTTGTTGTTTGCATGGCCGATGTTGGCTAAAGTAATGTGTACATGTAAAGATAACACCGTGGAAACTATGTGTCCACTAGGTGGGTGTAATGCATGTTTAATGTAGGTGTACACTTTGGTACGTGTTAATTCCTGTGTAATACAGGTGTCCACTAGGTAGGTGTTGAATCCGCACCACGAAAGTTGGTCGATCTGGAGACTGGCAGTCAATACTGGAGGCGGCGGGTGGGCGTGGACAAGTAGACGAGAAGGAGAAGGACAATAGACACGGGATCAGCAGGTGTCTGGGGTCGGCCGGTTAAGTGGACGTGGACAGTATGGAGGAGGGGCAACGTCGACTAGGAGATTATGGTGGTCAAGTCTACCCAATCACCCACACGCCAAAATATCCACCCACCCAATCACCCACACAACAATGCATACTCCCACCCAATCACCCACACAGCAATACGTCCACCCACCCAATCACCCACACAGCAATACGTCCACCCACCGAATCACTCACACGGCAGTAGAAGCACCCATCCAATCACTTTTATCCGAAAACATCCACTCACAGGCCAATACATCCACCCACCCCATCGATTACACGCCAGTACATTCGCCCAAGCAATCACTTGCACGGAAATACATTCACCCACCCAATCACTCACAAGCAATACATCCACCCAACAGTCACTCACAAGCCAATACATCCGCCCAATCACACGACGATATATCGCCTCTCTTACTCACTCACTCTTCCGCTTCACCATGGACAAGTCCTACCATCGGTCACGCACCCTTCGATGTATTCACCTACTCATTCACATACACATATTCACATTAGCAAACTAAAGGCGACACAGTCGTGTCCAGATACATCAGAAATTATTGCTTAATACCTAATCTATGTATCCTTGCAATCACTGACACTGACACTGGCATGACGTAAGATGTTTACCCCGTCTGTTGCAGTGAGCAGTCTAGTTCCCCTTCTCGTCCTCTCGGCGTCAGTAACACCCCGAGATCCCGACGTGACGCCTTCAGTGACAGGAGTTGAGGTTGATGACACAGATGCTGGTGATGCTGTGACAAGAGACGAGGAGGAGACTGAAAACATCAGTCTGCTTCCTTTACTTCTCGAGGAGGTTCCCGGGAGGAATACAACTACACACACAACTACAGAGACAACTACACACACAACTACAGACACCGCAAAAGACACAACTACAGACACAACTACAGACACAACTACAAAGACAACTACAGAGACAACTACACACACAACTACAGAGACAACTACACACACAACTACAGACACATGTACAGACACAACTACAGACACAACTACAGACACGACTACAGAGACCACTACAGACACAACTACACACAACTGCACACACAACTACAGACACCATTACAGGCACAACTACAGAGACAACTACAGACACAACTACAGACACGACTGCAGACACAATTACAGACACAACTACAGACACAACTACAGACACAACTACAGAGACCACTACAGACACAACTACACACAACTGCACACACAACTACAGACACCATTACAGACACAACTACAGAGACAACTACAAACACCATTACAGGCACGACTGCAGACACGACTACACACACAACTACAGAGACAACTACAGACACAACTACAGACACAACTACAGACACAACTACAGGCACGACTGCAGACACGACTACACACACAACTACAGACACAACTACAGACGCAACCACAGACACAACTACAGACACAACTACACACACAAATACAGGCACGACTGCAGACACGACTACACACACAACTACAGACACAACTACAGACGCAACCACAGACACAACTACACACACAACTACAGACACAACTACAGACACAACTACAGACACAACTACAGACACAACTACAAACAGAACCACAGACACAACTACACACACAACTACAGAGACATCTACAGACACAACTACAGACACAACCTCAGGGACGACTGCAGACATCACTACACACACAACTACAGAGACAACTACACACACAACTACAGAGACAACTACACACACAACTACAGGCACATCTAGGGACACCACTACACACACCACTAAAGGCACGACTGCAGACACAACTACATGCACAACTACAGTCACGACTACAGACACAACTACAGACACGACTACAGAGACAACTGCACACACAACTACAGGCACATCTAGAGACACCACTACACACACCACTAAAGGCACGACTGCAGACACAACTACATGCACAACTACAGTCACGACTACAGACACAACTACAGACACGACTACAGACACAACTACAGAGACAACTGCACACACAACTACAGGCACGACTGCAGACACAACTACAGAGACAACTGCATGCACAACTACAGTCACGACTGCAGACACAACTACAGACACGACTACAGACACAACTACAGACACGACTACAGAGACAACTGCAGACACAACTACAGACACAACTACACACACAACTACAGTCACGACTGCAGACACAACTACAGACACAACTACACACACAACTACAGACACCACTACAGACACAACTACAGGCACGACTGCAGACACAACTGCAGACACAACTACAGGCACGACTGCAGACACAACTACACACACAACTACAGGCACGACTGCTGACACAACTGCAGACACAACAACATACACAACTACAGGCACGACTGCAGACACCACTACAGACACAACTAAAGACACAAATACAGGCACAGCTACAGACACGACTACAGACACAACTACAGACACAACTACGATCAGAACTACAGACACGACTACGGACACAAAGACAGACACAACTACAGGCATAACTGCAAAGAGAACTACAAACACGACTACAGACACAACTGCAGAGAGAACTACAGACACAACAACAGACACTAACAGACACAAATACAGACACAAATACAGACACAACTACACACACAACTACACACACAACTACAGGCACCACTACAGACACAACTACAGACACAACTACAAAGAAAACTACACACACAACTACAGAGACAACTACACACACAACTACAGACACCACAAAAGACACAACTACAGACACAACTACACACACAACTACAGACACAACTACAGAGACAAGTACAGACACAACTACAGACACAACTACAGAGACAACTACAGAGACAACTACACACACAACTACAGAGTCAACTACACACACAACTACAGACACAACTACAGACACAACTACAGACACAACTACAGACACGACTACAGACACAACTACAGACACGACTGCAGACACAACTACAGACACAACTACAGACACAACTACACACACAACTACACACACAACTACACACACAACTACAAACACAACTGCACACACAACTACACACACAACTACAGAGACAAGTACAGACACAACTACAGAGACAACTACAGAGACAACTACACACACAACTACAGAGTCAACTACACACACAACTACAGACACAACTACAGATACAACTACACACACAACTACAGAGTCAACTACACACACAACTACAGACTCAACTACAGACACCACTACAGACACAACTACAGAGACAACTACAGACACAACTACAGACACAACTACAGAGACACCTACACACACAACTACAGAGACAACTACACACACAACTACAGACACCACTACAGACACAACTACAGAGACAACCACACACAACTACAGAGACAACTACACACAACTACAGAGACAACTACACACACAACTACAGACACAACTACAGACACAACTACAGACACAACTACAGAGACAACTACACACACGACTACAGACACAACTACAGACACGACTACAGACACCACTACAGACACAACTACAGACACAACTACAGACACAACTACAGACACAACTACAGACACAACTACAGACACAACTACAGACACAACTACAGACACAACTACAGACACAACTACAGAGACAACTACACACACAACTACAGACACAACTACACACACAACTACAGAGACAACTACACACACAACTACAGAGACAACTACAGACACGACTGCAGACACAACTACAGAGACACCTACAGACACAACTACAGACACAACTACAGGCACAACTACAGACACAACTACAGACACAACTACAGAGACAACTACACACACAACTACACACACAACTACAGACACAACTACAGACACAACTACAGACACAACTACAGACACAACTACAGACACAACTACAGACACGACTACAGAGACAACTACACACACAACTACAGACACAACTACACACACAACTACAGAGACAACTACAGACACAACTACAGACACACCTACACACACAACTACAGACACAACTACAGACACAACTACAGACACAACTACACACACAACTACAGACACACCTACACACAACTACAGACACCACTACAGACACAACTACAGACACAACTACAGACACACTACAACTACTAGAGACACAACTACAGACACAACTACAGAGACGACTACACACACAACTAACAGACACAACTACAGACACAACTACAGACACAACTACAGACACAACTACAGAGACAACTACACAAACAACTACAGACACCACTACAGACACAACTACAGACACAACTACACAGACACAACTACAGACACAACTACAGACACAACTACAGACACAACTACAGACACCACTACAGACACAACTACAGACACAACTACAGACACAACTACAGACACAACTACAGACACAACTACAGACACAACTACAGACACAACTACACACACAACTACACACACAACTACAGACACAACTACAGACACAACTACAGACACAACTACAGACACAACTACAGACACAACTACAGACACACAACTACAGACACCACTACAGACACAACTACAGAGACAACTACAGACACAACTACAGACACAACTACACACACAACTACAGACACAACTACAGACACAACTACAGACACAACTACAGACACAACTACAGACACAACT